GGATCCTGCCTATCTCCCTCTGGGTGACCCAGAACTCAAGATCTAATCGCTGACCCATGTCCTGACTTTGTCTACTGTTATGAATATAGACACACTTTTCTATGAACTGCTAAACAAGAAAGGTCTTTGGGTGTGCACAGCACCATTTCCACCTCAGCCATCTTTCTTCTGAGAAGGAATCAAGAAGAAATGGGGAAAGCAGCTTTGTCTCTGTGCAGAAGGCTGTGGACTTAAGAAAGAGTGTGCAGCTGAAAGTGGGCCTGGCAGAGAGATTTTCTTAAACCCTGGAAGTGAAGACTCTCCTGGTATCAAAGTGGAAGGGTAATTGGACAAGTTGTAGGTTGTAGGCAGATGGATGATCATAGCAAATCAATGACTGAGAAAGACTACTGCACAGACTGGGGGGGGGGGGGGAGAGGGCAAAGGTGTGCAACGGCGTGACTGCCGAAAACGTGAATAAAGTACAGGTCATCTTACACACACCTCCCTTCACTCGGACCCTGTTCTCAACATTCCCATCATCCAGTTCCTGCCTCACCTTCTTGCCTCTGCATCCTGGATCTGCTATCCCTAATTTCTCCTTTAAAACACAGTATTTGTACTCAAGTTACCAACTTGAATATCTGTTACAAAAAAAAAAAAACCTAAAACACCCATTTCTTGATATCCTATGGGCCAAAAAGTTTACAGGATTCAGCATCTTCAAAAACAGCCACAGAAGAAAGAAAAAAAAAATGCTCATCTTTTCCAGCCTAGTAAATCCCATCTATATAAAGACTAAATGAATAACATTTTTAAAATTCCTCAATGAGAGCAAATTCACGTCACCAGCAATGTATTGTCTTTATGTGGAGGAGACAGAGGCTCACACATTTTATTTTATTTCATCTCATTTTGCAACTGTGTCTCCTTTGCAACATATTACCATATAAAAGAGATATGGAAATATATATAACTCTAGAGAACAAAATGCCAGTCTCTCTCCTTTCTCCAGAATTCTCTTTCCTTCTGGCCTTTCTTTTTCTATCCCCAAATGCCAGAAAAATCAGAACGGTTTCCACTGACTCGAGGTGAACCATACCCTCGAATGGCTGGCCTGGATCCAGCCACAGTCCACTTTTACAATTTCGTCTCCTCATTTGGTCAGCGCTGTGCCCACTGGGCTGCTTTTCTCAGCAAGCAGACCCTTTCTCACCCCAGTTTCCACTGCCGTATACCTTGGCCCTTACGCTTTCAGCAGCCCATTCCCTCCCTATGGAGGCACTTAGTCTGATTTTACCCTTCGTGCTTTTTTCATTATTCTTAGTTCATCCACGCCACATAAATTATCGCCTTCATTTTCAGTTCCCCATGTGCCCCATTCACACCAATTCCAAATAAATACTTCTGATCCCCATCCATTTAATCCAAATTAATTCATATTCCCTCTCCCATCTCCCATCCCTCTCCCCACTGCCCTTCCTTCACATCTATTTCTCTTTCTTACAGCACCTACTCCTCTCCTTCCAGCCATGCTCATCTTCCAGGACAGGCTAGATGTAGCACACTTCTGAGGATGGATGATGATGGCTTCTTTTACTATCTGAGGAAAGCCATACTCTATATCCCGCCAATTTCCCTAGGCCAGAGCTTGCAGGGCCAGTTTAACCCTGCACCCTGGTGTCCAATGGCATAATCCCTCCCCATCCACAAATCAGCATTGGGGTCACTTGACTGCATGCTGAATATTCTTCCAAAATGTCTAGGTGCAGAAGTGTTCCAGACTTTGTACTTTCTGATCTTGAAATACATACATACATACATACACACACACACACACACACACACACACACACACACACACACAAAATGGGAAATCTCAGGTATAAGACTTTAGTTCAAAAACAAATTACTGATGTCTCTTAGACACCTTATACACATAGCCAGAAGGGAATACTTTACATCATTGTTAGTCTATCTGCATTTTGACCATGGTTTGTGTAAAATGCAAGGTGTGGAATTGTCTTCTTGTGGTATCAAATAGGGATCTCAAAATACAAAAATTGCAGAGGGTCTGCACAGATGACTCAAGTTGGTCAAATACTTTCCACATAAGCATGAGGATCTGGATTCAGATCTTCAGCACCCACATCATCATCAACAACAACAACAACAAAATCAATGAAATGATTCTTAATGATGTTGTGCTATACTCATACACTGGAGCCTTGTCCAGTAGTAATCAGAGAATTTCCTCTAGCAACAAACAGGAGAGGATGCAGAGACCCATAGCCAGACATTATGTAGAGAGAGTCTAAATAAGCGGTGTCCATGGTGTCCCTCCCCTCAAAGCTCAGGAGACCCTGAGGAAGAAGGGGAAGAAAAATTGTAGGAGTCAGAGGGGATAGAGGACACCATGAGAACATAGCCTGCATAACCAACTCAGCAGGGCTCATAGGGGCTCACAGAGACTGAAGCAGCAAACAGTGTTGGCATGGGTCTGTACCAGGTCCCCTGCATACATGTTATGACTGTTAGCTTGGTGTTTTTGTAGCACTCTTAACAGTGGGAGTCTGTATGTCTCGGATTCTTTTGCCGGTTCTTGGGACTCTTTTCCTCCTATCGTGTTGCCTTGTTGAGCCTCAATGTGAGTGTTTTTGCCTTGTCTCATTGTACCTTGTTTTATTGTGTTTGGTTGTGGTCTCTCAGGGGCCTGCTCCTTTCTGAAGGGAAACAAGGGGGGAATGGATGGATCTGAGGGAGAGGGGAGGTAGCAGCAAAGTGGAAGGAGTGGTGAGACAGGAAACTTTGACCAGGACATATTATATGAGAAAGGAAGCTATTTTCAATAAATAAATAGATGGAAGAGAGATAAATGATAGATAGGTAGGTAGGTAGACAGACAGACAGACAGATAGATACTGTGGTCTGTAATCTCAGAGCTAGAGAAGTGGAGATAAAAGGATCCTGAGTATTCATTGGCTGGCCAGCCTAGCCAATCAGTGAGCTCCATGTTCAGTAAGAGACCCTTTCTCAATAACTAAGAGGGTGAAGAGATTAGGGGAGGCACTGAATGCTGACTTCCTCCCTCCATAGGCATGTGTGTGCTCACACCCACAACCACCACAAACACATATACATACACACTAAATAAGTGTTTTGGAGTTTGGAACATTTGGGATTCGTGGTTAAGGACACTTAACCTTTCTTTAGCTCTAGCTAACCGACTGTTTTCTAGTTTACATGGAGCTGTTTCACTCACTTATCACTAACCAATGTCAAGACCAAGAGTCATAATCCAAACCACCATAACAAAACAACTCCACTACTCTTGTTAATGAGCTATGATTGTCTGCCAAGTAGACAGCTCTTTTTTTGGAAGCTAACTATGATGTGGATGTACTAATCCTTCTTTATAGATGAGGAGATGGAGATCAGAGAAGACAATGTGCACAGGTTATAAGGCTAGGAAGTAGTAGAGGCAGGACTCAAACCCCAGTGGACTTGACTATACTGCCATGCTCAGCTGCTAGTCAAAACTGCCTTTCTCATGCTTCACCCTGACTGCTTCAGTAAACTTCCTGTGGTGAGGAATCTTGGCACTTAAGTCCACCACAAAGCCAGTGCCAACGCATAAGAAGTTCCACCTTGGTACTCATTCTGAGTAACTATTTTCAAAGAACAAGTCCCACCGAGGCTCAAACCTGTGGCTTCTCCTCACACAGTATGCACAGGAAAACTGTTTATGGTCACACAAAGACATTATACGGACTACCTGACCATCAGAGCTAAGAGAGACCTTGGCTGGAGCATTATTGTTGTTGGGTAGCTTACTATATAGCACTGACTAGGCTGGTACTCACTTATCTAGACCAGACTAGCCTAGAACTCACACAGTTCCACTTGTTTCTGACTTCTGAGTGTTGGGATTGAAAGGCCTGCATCACCGTATCTGGCCCCAGGCACTTCTCGGACCTCACAGGCCACCACCTACTTTACCCTGAGAACACTTTTACTCTCCCTTTTACCTTTGGGGACTCTCCCTAAGCAGTACACAAGAACCATACCAGTGATACGCTGGCGCTGTTAGCAACCCACTTACAAACCACCAGTCCCAGTAATTGCTCCTCACGGCACTTTAGGCATTCAAGAAGAGACATCACCTCAAGCTCCAACCCCAAAACTTAAAAAAAAAAAGTCATGAGGAAAATGGCAATTGCCCTCTTTTCTGTGTGAACCCTTCACTTCAAAATGACCCCACTGCCCCAAAGGCAGTGGGATTTCTTGGGATCAGCACAGAAACCAGGGAGTGAAATATACAGTCCCCTCCCCCACCCACCACCTCACACACACACACACACACACACACACACACACACACAGCCATGTAATCACTTTAGCAACTTCTCGGTAACAAGCTCATTAAAAAGCAATTCTGCCATCTCTCCATAAAGCACGCGCCAGAGAACAATGCAAAAGAGGAGATGCCAATTAATTATAGGATGATCACATCTAATGAACTCTGAAACCCTCCTGCTGTTGGTGACTTTGATAAAAAAATCAGGGATGCCGGGAAAGAGTGACTAGGACACCCTGGCTACCTTGTGGATGCTTTGAAAGGTACCTCTTCAACTTCTAATGTGGATGAGCTCTGTGGAGCCACACTCACAAAACAATGGCAAACACCAGTGTGGAGGGACTAGGAATGTCACACGTGTCTGTGTGTAGCGGCACCAGAGCCCCCTTCCTTCCGCCTCAGAACTGCCTGGTTCTCTGCTGGGGTTGGCCTTGCCTCTGAAACCAGCTCCCCTCAAGCAAGCAGTGGAAAACCCATGTCCTGTTCTGGGGGAACCTAAGGCCCTAGTGTCAGAAGTGAGTCCTTCACTTCCCTTGCTAGCCCTCCTGCCCCACTGTGGCCTCCCAGTGAGCATGAAGGCAACCTCTTATAAGAGAAGCCATCCCGCTACAAAGGGAACGCGCAAAAGAGGAAGAAATGACCTGCGGCCAACTTGTACCACTACCTGTGTGAGTCCTCTGGTGAGCCTTTAAGTGGGAGCTTTTTGTATAAACTTTCCGACACCCGTTAAACTGGCAACGGTGGACCCTCTTCTTGTTTTCAGGGCAAGTGTCAGCCCCTACCCCTCCTTGCTCACTGTCGCTCTGTCCACTCTTAACTGCTCCAGCTGGTGTCACTGCTGCCGCCGCCGCCACCCCTCCCACCTTCACCGAGCTGAGGGAAGCCTTCTTGGCCACCAGTTTCAACGTCACTGTGCCATCCACGGCCGAGAGAGTCTGTGAGGTTTTGACCAGATGGCGGCTGAGCTCAGGGGATGAGGGGGGCGTTAATGAGGTCACTGCGTTGAGCTGGGCCTGGTTGACGGCTGTGTAGCTGTCTAGAGAAGAGCTGGTTGGCTGGAGGCTGAGGCAGGTCTCAGATAGCAACTTGTCCCGAGAGAGCAAAATGTCCACTGCAGAGCTCTTCTCGCAGATGGTGGCTTCCACTGGGAGCAGCAGGGGGTCTAAGCGCCGGAAGCTTTCCTCAATGCACGGGGGAGGAGAGGCGTGGAGAAAGCAGTCCAAGTCCTCTCCAAAGGTCTCGGAGATCCGTCGGGGTTCTGTCTGGAGGTAGCGTTCCAACTCAAGGCATGTCTGTGGAGGAAAGAAGAAGAGAAATAACCATCAGAGGCAAAGGACACCCGGAGGCAAACGGGTGTAAAGGCTTTCATGGCAAATGTCTGCAAATGCTCTTGCCCTTCAGTCTGATGCCTAGGTATATACTCTGAGTATTTCTGAAGAGTTCAGTGGGGCTAACTGCAGTAGACAGAAAACTGCAGCCTCAGAGGACTATTTCACACCTGCAAAATCCATAGCCCCTCAACACCCAAATCACAGTCTCTTTCAATTCCATCAATTCAGCAGCTAAGATGCTCCAAGCACCCCTAGGGTTTGCCATGGAAACAAGATGGACATAGAACAAAGATTACTTATGGTACCATTTCAGTGTGCAGGACAGACCTGAACAAGTTACAAAGCTAAGTCAACTTCCCAAATTGATCTGCAAAGAAAACCATGTTTAATCAGAGGCAACTTCTGGAGACATCAGCCAGAGCCAGCCCTGACTTGGGCCTGGATTCTATGACCACAAGGAATGGATATCATTCTATAGAACGCCTATTATAAAATCTTGGAGACATAAAACAAAACCTCTACTGTCCATAGTACATTATAACAAATGCAATTGTTCTCCACTGTGTGGCAAGAGGAATGGATCTCATTACCAATGCATGTCACCTCTGACTATCCAGTAAAAATAAGTTCCAAGACAGCAATTAAGGTACTACTAGGTGTGTTGATGCATACTTTTAATCCCAGCACTCAGGAATCAGAGGCAGGCAAACCTCTGAATCCCTGGCCCCAGCCTGGCCTTGAAAGTGAGTGAAAGACCTATGGAATATAGACGATTATAAATCATAGTATAAAACTTTCATTTGGTAAATAGCCGACAAAAAAGTTTTAGCAACTCTTAAACCAAGGTGCTCCTAAATCCTTGCAAGATGTACAAGTACTTTTATGGCAAAAATAAGTTTGTATTCCAAAGTTCTCCTCAATTTTATTCTTCCAAACTCTTCCATAAAATGATGCTGCTGACTTGTACACTCACCTCACTTCTACTTCTAAAGGCTTCAAATGAGAAATGCTAATGGCAATTCAAAATGTGCCTCATTCCAGACTTACTGCCTCCCAGCCGTTCTATCCAACCAGTGTTCTGGCTATAGGAATTTACTCTGTTCAGAACATGTTCTGATGACAATATCTAGTCATGTTGTGTCTGTCAAGGCTTTTATTTTGTTAACATTTAAAGCAACTGGTGTTAAGTCAGACCAGGTAAATCTTTGAATTTCTGAATAAGAAACAGATTCATAACTAAAAATCAGCTTTGGGCTTCACAGCTGGTGTTCAGTTCGAGGAACCAATAAATGGTTGCCACAGTCATTTGCCATTCCCATTACTAGTATGCTTGTAGCAAGGCTCACGGATTTATACTATATAGGATATGATTGTTAAGAGCCATGTGATGTAGTTGCAGAATAAACAGTCATGAGCTAAAAGTGGCATGGATTCACAAAGCAAGGTGACGGCAAGTGTATTTGTAAGTGGTTGAGGGGTCAGTGAGGAACTCTCCACTGTCTGAGGTGGGGTGCTTGTCAAGGAAGGCTTACTTGAAAACTAAGATCTGATGCTTTACTTGCCAACCAAATAAGTATCTGGCTCAGTTCTTTTTTGTTGTTGTTGGTTTGGTTTGGTTTTTCAAGACAGGGTTTCTCTGTGGCTTTGAAGGCTGTCCTAGAACTATCTCTTGTAGACCAGGCTGGCCTCGAACTCACAGAGATCTGCCTGCCTCTACCCCCCGATTGCTGGGATTAAAGGTGAGTGCCACCATGGCCTCACCTGGCTCAGTTCTATCAGGTACTTTATATTAGAAACAAGTAACCCAATGCTCCACCTTCTTGGGTCTAGAATTTGCATTACCCCGTTGGACCCTTTTGTGAATTCTATGACTGAACATTTTTTTCTTCCTTTCTTTCTCCACCTAATTGCTATGGAGTCTTACTTCCTTTCCACTGTTGAAGCCCTCGGTCATCACTCTAGTGGACTCACTTCTGTGTTTGTTATAAAATCCTGAAACTGCTAAGCTCCTCCTTCCTCCTTTACACCTTTTCCCATCACGTACAGTACCAGGCACCCAACAAGTACACAGGTCATTCTATCTCTTCTACCTTTCAAAAGTCCTCACCCTTGACACCCAATGAAGATTAAAAACCAAAACAAACAAAAAACCTAGAGCATAACTGTATAGTTCCTCTACTCTCATGGATTTGTCATCAAAATACATTTGCTTCTTCCCTCTCCAGCACCCTCACGCAGTCGTTTCTATTAGGTTCACTATTTTATAGTTTTTTCAGAAGAGGAACCTAGCATTACTGGGAGCAAGTAAAAGGAATGTTAATGTCCAGATATTTGGAGATATTTCTACATATCCATTACTGTTTCCTGGTTTTATTACTTTGTGATCAAATAACAGACTACAGATATCAAGCCTTTTATATTTACTGAGGCTTACATTACGGCCCTGAGTATGGCTCATCTTGCTGAGGCAGGCAATTTTAGAAATGACCACTAAAACATGGCTTTGAGTATACAATCACAATGCTTCTTGCCCTTTTGCCCAAAGAGGAGAACTAGAGTTTTGTGAGGAAGACACATTCCAGGCAAAAGTCAGCTGAGTCATGGGTTATTGAATGTCCTGGGGGTAGTTGCCTGTCTCCTGTGAAAGGATCAACATCACACACCTAGATGCTGTGTCTATGGATGGTATAGATGGGAGCTTTACTATACCCTGTCTATTTATACAGTTTTCAATTCAAAGATGAGAAATGAATGGGTTGCTATGAGGCTCAGATCCCTTCATACTGTAAGTTCTGAGAAGCTGGAATAGTGTAAACACATTTAGATACTATTGTAAAAGGCTTTTTAAAAAATAGTGCTCCCAGTATGCCAGGCTTTGGAATCTTTACACTAGAAACATGGAAATATCAACATCTCTAAATTCTGCACTACTTCAGAAAGGCTGTTAATTTGAAGGGTATCTTCCATGAGTGTCAACCGGGTGCAGAAAACCCCATGAAGTCACTGTGGAGGGATTTCTATCTTGAGAAATCCACTCTCTGTAATTTCTGTTAAAAATAAAGCTGAGATAAAAGACATGTTTTCAGCTGGAACCTAGGATGAGTTTAAAGAATTTATTGCCAAGAGTATAGAAACCAAAATGCTATGAGTAAACGGAACATTATGACAAGATTACATCTAAGACAAAGAGTTCATTTGCAATGTCATTTGTAAATATCTGTAAGGCTGCCTTAAACAATGCCTTCCATGTTTAATCAGAAATTAAGCACTACTATGTGTTCATGGACTTTAATATATATTAATTCTACGTACCCATACAGGTCTATAAAGAAATAAATGAGTATATGATGTAAAGTATACACACTGGCATACTTGCCCAATAGCAAAAGCACAAGGGCTTTTGTTCCTAAATAAGATAATCCAGCAAAAAAGAGGCAGGGTTCACCAGAAAAAAACACTTGTTTCCTGGACTGGGATAAATCTGTATGCTAAGCCTAGAAGATCCTGTGATTCCAGAAGACAAGGAAACATAAAGGACTGATCAAAAGGGAAGCTGGGTGCAGTAAAGGCATCATACTTCTAATTTACCAAAGTCTTCAGTAGCCAGATTTGGACAATAAGGGGGAAATTGGATCATAACCCAAATAAACTAAAACCCCACACTACTATAAACGAATGATTAAATAAATAGTTGGATGGAAAAGATCAGTTTTCCCATATATAAAGTTACAACTTATATGGAGAAATGTTGGCATTAATAAAAAACCACCTTGAGACAAACAACAAAGCAGTATGGATACCAAGTAAGACTAATCAATGAAGGCTCAAGTTGAAGAGATGAAAACATAAGAAACAAGGTATTTGTCCTCTCAAATCTCCCAACCAGATGTTAAATCCAAAGACAAAAATGGTAATTTCCCAGTGGGAAAAGCTGGCAGATACCACCTGAACCACTGTTCACAGTTAACATACTAATGACATGTCATATTGATAACATGCACCCCTATATGATATGCTCAATGGGGCACTACATTACTCTGTGATATTCCTACAGATTATGAGAAAGTATCAGACAAACCCAAATAGAATCCATTACACAAAACAACTGGCCACTTACAAATGTCATGGCCATAAACTATAAAGCAAGGTTGAAAAGCTGTCACAGACTAGAAGAGACAATATGATATGACATTTAAATATAATGGATCTTAGACCAACACAATATTGGGAAAATAATGCAATTCAAATAAAGTATATAAATTAGCTAATGGTATTTTCCCCAGTGATAATTTCCTGGCAATGATAATTATACTATGGTTAGATATATTAGAGAAACGGGGAAGGAGGGTATGGAAAAGAGTAAACATCAGCAAGCTAGTAATATCTCTAGGCTGTACAGTTGAATAGAGTTCATATGTCTCTATCCTGATGACACTTCAGCTACCAAACTCCAAAGTCTGGGTCAGCAAATGTCACTTTAATGACACAAATTATGCCTGCCTGCCACCTCACCTTGGCGACAGAGGCTTCTGGCAGCCTGACCTAACAACACAACTTAAGGCTTGATCCCTTGCATCAGCCTGAATCCTGAACAAGCCATTAATTTTGGCAAAGGAGAAGAATGTCCCCAAATGCTAAGTGATTTTCTTAGCATTTAGGAGTCACAGATGAGCTCTGTGAAGACTGTGATATCCCAATTTGGAGATGCACAGCTTCTTTGCCCAGTCTCCTAATAAATGTCGCCTGAAACTGCTTCTGAAAGCTCCTTCATGACTCGCTTCATGCTTTCACAGCCTTTGCTTATTTAAACAAGCTTGTTAAAGGTAATAGTCCAAGACCTGGCTTTAGAAAAAGAAAGGAAGAAAGAAAATGGGCTTGAGAAATGGCAGCATTCCTGATGGTCTGATTTCTGAGTTTGATTCCTAGAACCCACATGTGGAAGGAGTGAACTAATTGCCACA